TACGCGTGCGTGGAGAAGCACGCGGACAAGAAGCCCACCGAGATCGCCACCATGGGGCTCCTCTTCCCCGCCGACTGCAAGAAGTCCCGCGCCCAGTACGTCAGCAGCTGCCGCCCCTCCTGGGTAACTATTCTAATCCCCATCCGCCTCGCAGCCAGCCGCCAATCCCTCCATGATTCGCGTCTCTGCTTGCTTCTCCTAATGACAATTGGTTTCGGTTTCCTTCGCCAGGTGAGGCACTTCGACCGGCAGCACTGCGCCAAGAAGCGGGTGCAGAGGCTGCTCGACGGCGACGACGACGGCCGGGGTTCCATGTCGCTGCCCCAGCCCTACACGTTCAAGCAATAAGTGGCGCTGACGATGGGCCTGTCCTTTGTACGAACCGAATCTGGCCGAGATGGTATTGGTTTATTGTTCTCTAGTCATTCCTGCCGAGATGGATGCTTATCTGCTGCCTAGTATGTTGAGGAAACTGTGAATCTGTGACTTCGTAGCGATCATGACCGTTGTTGTAGTGCTCCTGTTATCCTAATGACCTCGTGACTCCTGGCCTTTCATGCTTCGTTTCGATGGATGAAAGTTGAGATGTGGAATAATATTGCGGAGGGATGGTTATTGCCAGGTGCCATTTAGAATGCATCCATAGCAAGTTTTCACCAATTAGTTTGCCATATATAAATTTAAGGGCAATATTACTCGGTGCCGTCACAGTGACCACCAAACAGAAAAGTACCATCCCATGTGTCACGACTCACGACAAACGATGGTAGCCATTTTCTTTATTGTAACTTTTAAAATGCGTTATTCCTCTCTTTACAAAGTGGAACCTATAATTTTCATTTGAATTATTATAGAATGGCCTATACTGGTTCATCCACAAAAATGTTATTCTTAACTCCAAAATTTGGACCTGTATTTGAAAATTCCTACTTCCTAAATGCTCACTTTATGGGTGACCTTCCATTGTTTGTATATGAAGTCACTATTGCCCCATCTCTGTTTCAGCATTGTTCAATTAACACCTCATTAACTAATCCTTATGAACTGTCTATATTTGAAAGTCATTGTCTTGTTCAGTGTCCTTTTTTTTCTTTGAATAACCATCACAATGCTAAACAGATGAACTCATTGAGTCAATGTAGCTTTTACTTGTGTGGCTATTTCTGTCTAGTTTTTCATTTTGTCAGAGAAGAATGCTTTGGTGATTTTGACTGTCATCAGATTATTCGAACAGATTACGCTAAATTAGAAATGAGCCACTTTTTAGCCCATCAAAATTCCATCTTAGCTTCCCTGGACCTTATTAGGATATCATTTTAGAATGTTTGGGGCATCTTATGTGAGTCTGTAAAAGATCTAGTAGTGTGTGTCCAAAGGTATATCTGATTTCTGTTTGAGCCTTCGTTGACCCTTTCTCTAAGTAATTCTGTGTGCAGATGTTCTAGAATTAGATGATTGTTTTTCTTTGTAATTATTTAACCTATTTATAGATAACCGTCTTTTGATATATGGGATAGATAAAAATAAGAACGTATGTGTTAATTTGTACACAAGTGTACATGTTTATTTCTAAAATTAGTTGGTGTTGTGACCAGTAATTCTGGATGGTAATTGTGCTTTAAGACCATTATCAAGAACTTATGCGTTAATTTGTACACAAGTGTACATGTTTATTTTTAAAATTAGTTGGTGTTGTGATCAGTAAGTAGATAAGAATATGTAAACATCAGAATGTGATGAATGAATCAGCGAACAAGTAGTTATATGAATGATTGTCTCGCTTTCTGTGTGACTTGATGAACAAGTAGTATTTTGAGCTTGGTTTTGATAATGATTGTATTATTAGGTGGTCCGTTCTGTAATTTTCAAAGTTGTTTCACTATCATTTACCTTGTCATATTCATCTGGAAAACTGGGGATGGCAGGGATGATGGTAGACTTCAAAGATAAGAAAATATGGATGGACTAACTAAAAGGGGTTCAAATAGTTCAGTGAAATAAAAAATAATATGAGATGCAAATAGGTAGCTTTTGATAGAGAATTCTTTCAACTTGCACTTAATTAAATTTCCTTAAGTAAAATGATTAGGTTAAGTTTTGGCCTGAGATAATTTTATTTGAGGGAATTGAGCTTGAGTTTGGGACCTTGCATAAGTTTGATATGAAGCTATGCTTGCAGCAAGAAGATCAATGCTCTATTTCTGAATGAAGTATGTCTTTCACACAGAACAAAGAACTACTCATTTCAATTTTGTGGGTCTTTTGTGCCATTTTATGTCATATCTAGGAATTTAATTAACTCAGATGATCTTGTAATCCTCTATAAGAGGTCTGTATTTATCTCTTATGGCGGGTTCTATGTGAACACTGATAGACTCGGTGATGGCATGTTCTTATTTTTGTGTTAGGTTAGGTTGGGTAAAGGTTTGTTGGTTTCTCCTGGTAATGATGTGGCATCACTCTGCTTAGTATCATACTGGATTCTAATTGTGCTCATTTCAGACTCCTTCATACTCTTCTACTCCCTCCGTAAACTAATATAAGAGTGTTTAGAATACTAAACTAGTGATCTAAACACTCTTATATTAGTTTACAGAGGGAGTATTTATTTTCATTTTTACAGTTCAGCACCTTTTTTTAAGTGATCATTGCCATGTTTGTTCCTTTTGTAAATGAACTATCATGTTTGATGCAAGTTGCACAAGTAAACAGAGCAAAGTTTTGATGCTAAAAAAAACAGAGCAAAGTTTTAACACAGTGAGGCTACCAAACATGAATTGTTAGAAGTTCTTTTGATTCGTTCTGTAACCTAGGTCCTCTTCCTTATAAGAAAACATCATCTTCCTTATTTTATGTCATTGTGTATTCGATGTGGATTTTACAATGGTAAAAAGTTCTCGACGTGGATTTAGATGTATCTAGCTAGCCACTCAATGTATCATCAGTAGAGAACACCGGGTTCTGGTCATTTTCCCCAGGTTCATTAAATATAATTTGAGAAGAATAAACGGGCCACTTTATGACCCATCAAAGTTCTATCTCTGCTTCATTGGCCCCTTTGAGTAATCCTGGGATATTTTTAGCTTTTTGTTCTGTCTTTGTTAATTGCTATTTATCATGTCATATTCACCTCAAATAGGTGGGGTTGCAAGTGCTCCTGCTGTATTTATGTGCTGTTTGATTTGAGGGATAAGCTAATCCTTCATTTTATACTAGGCCTATGCTTGTGAAGTTGGGAGGTGGTAATTGGGCAACTCATTTCATTCCTCAAACCATACAAGGGGCAATTCATCACCCAGTTTAGTAAAAGAAAAGATAATATTTGATATGAATAGTGTGTTCTCACAGTGGATTATTTACTGTCCATATGGAAATTTTGATACAAAAAACCTTGGGTAAATGAGTATAGGTAACATCTTTTCTGAGGTAGTATAAGAATAGTTAGTTTTCTTGGGAGAAATTTGATCTTAAGCTATGATTGTGGCAAGTTGATCAAGTCAAATAAAGTCTGCCTTTCACTATGTAAAATGTTGGGAGTCTCTGACTTTGGTATTGCTTTGTTCCATTTTACTTTATACTCCCTCCGTCCGGAAAAACTTGTCCCAAGCTTGTCCCTCAAATGAATGTATCTAGCACCAACTTGGTGCTATATATATCCATTTGAGGGACTAGCTTTTTCGGACGGAGGGAGTATATGTGTTCTGTCTTCTGGGTTTTGATATATGTTGTCTGCTGGCCACATTTTGAACTGGGTTAGGCTGTGTAAGGTTTGTTTGATAAGTGGGGCCACCGCACTATTTAGTAAGTACTATCATGGTTGATTCCACTCCCTCCGTTCCGAATTACTTGTCACATGTATGGATGTATCTAGATATATTTTAGTTCCAGAAACATCCATTTCTGTGACGAGTAATATGAAACGGAGGGAGTAATAGCAGCTATTCCTTTTAAATTCTGTTGGCCGCGCCCGTGCCTTCTTTGTTTTACGATTCGACCTTGTTGTGTGTACTCCTAAATTGGCGATCCTGTAGCCTGTGATTTTACTGTCGTGATCAAATGAGGTTTCCCTACTGTGTTTTATAAAGCTGCTCCTGTGTCGGCATAACCCAGTGCTCCATTTCTTGGTGGCTGTTGTTTGAAAGCATTAGCTGCTTCTTTAGGCTAATAGGAGATTTATTCAATATTATAGCACCCACCAAGGAATGAAGGACGATCTAATTTGTCTGTCTTGCAGCTGAATTAATTAGTTGTAGAGACGATCATGTCAATGTGCTGTCAGTCACCTCCCTTCCCTATATATATAATAAACATGCTTAGCGCATACCCACAATGCATTATTCCTTTCGGCTCTATTCAAAGATGAAACTTTTCTGTCTCAACAGAAAAAAAAGATGAAACTTTTGTTGCGCGCTGCACATGATCGATAATAAGGTCCACCTTACTTTCCTCCACCAGTACAACGAGGCACGGCCATGGCCCATGGATTTGGTCTCAAATCAGTAGGTATAGGTAGAGCACATGAACAAACATCGCGTGGAACATTACCAACCACAAGAGTACAATCATCAGAAGAATCCTGTAGCAATTACAGCGCACCTGGGGTGCTTCCCGGGATCATCACCAACCACAAAGCAGTGCACAGTGCAGAGTAACCACGTACGTATTTACATGCTCTCTTGCTACTGGTTGGTCTTCGATCATCATCGTATGCTACATGCGGATGTACAGCGGTCTGCAGAGCAAACCATGGAGGAACTACAGTTGCTTCTCGGACGAAGCATCCAAAGCGAACGTCGCGTCAGAAGCAGCGGCAGAGCATCTGCACCGGAAGAAGAGACAAGTAAATCCATGCCTGCCCCATTGCAAATCACATGCACGAAATGCAAGGTTTGGCCGTCAACCGGTGCTCACCTTCCTCCGCTTCCGCCACCGCCACCGCCGCTGCCGGCGCCGGGCCGACGACGCCGACGCCTGGGCGAGGAGCAGGACCTCAGGCCGCAGCACCAGCGGCGACCAGAGCCCGCTCCTCCCGTAGTCGAAGTCGAACTCGCTGGTGTCCGCGAACTTGCCCAGGAGCCCGTCCGAGACGTCCCTCGACACCAGCTGCACCACGAACCCGCCGCCGCCGCCGCTGTTGGTGATCACAGGCGACGGCTCCTCGGAGTCGGAGTCAGAGCAAACGCTGGTGATCTCCGGGGACCGGGAGGGCGGCGACGCCGGCATTGTCGCGCGCGGGCAGGGCAGCAGCTAGGAATAGGATGATCGAGCGGAGAAATACGCGGCCGGAGAACGGCTGGTGGGCTGTTGCACTTGCAGCATCGCCCTGTCCGTGGACAGGAAAGAAGAAAGAATTTCGCCGCGGATCCTGTGGAGGTTGGAGGGAGAAAATGACTCGGTTTGGACCCGCTCCCTGTTGGGATCGTGGCCGCCCGCAAGAGACAGCCGCGTCGAGGGGGGCCACGACTAGGCCATCTCCTCCTCCTCCCTTTCTTTAATGGTGGCAGGCCCTCTCCTCTCGCAACAAGCACAGCGCAGCTGATCTCTCTCTCGTCTCTCTCTGGCAACCGACCGCGCACCTCTCCGTCATGTGGCGATGCCTCCACGTAACATAACATAGGCCTCGCATCCATCTCATGCACCAGGACGATGCTGCGACGCAGAGAAGGTTCCGTGGCAACATGCCATGTTAACTCGAGCAGCAAAAGATCGTGCTCGTACGTACCTCTCTGGGCGGGCGCAGTACCACTGCTTGGTCTTTATTGGCAACCCCATACCCGATTGCTGCATAATTCGCCGCAATTATGGGCGGGTTTATTAGAACGGATCTTGATCCGGCACCCGGCCGGCCGCGGGTTCGTTCGCCGAGATATACAGAGCAGTAGCAATGAAGCCGAGCTTTTCCGTATGGAACGTGGGGGAAGGGGATGCTACCAGCCGCAGGCAGGCAGGCAACGCTGGGACACCGTCGTGAGCCACCTACCATTAGACGGGCGACCTTTCCGAAACGGATCGATCCGGGCAGGTTGGTCCTTGAGGATTGATCGGGTCCATCCGTGGTGGGGCTGATTAGATCCAAGATCTAATCAGTTTGGGTGGGGATCACGCCTCACCTCACGGCCACGGCCAAGAGAGAGCTTCCGGCTAATCTCTGTGCGCCCTTTTCAGCGGATAATCCCATCTGTCAACGCTCGATGGAGTAAAGAGGAATCGGCGTGGGGAGCATCGAGAGAGTGAGTGATGTGGCCACTTTGTGAGTGTGTGTTGCATTTGCACACTTCAGTTAATTTACTTAAAGAGATGTTTAATTGCCAGTACCCTAACTTTTTTGCCGAAAAGGGAGACGTGACGGGCGCTTAATTGGATGTTAAATGTGTCGCCTAATCTCCAATCTAGAAAGTAGGCGTCAAACGTCATCCTGTGAAGGAGAAAGCGCGGTTTTAGTTCATTATCCTCACACGGTACACGCAACGCGTGACTGAGTAAATTAGGCTTGGCGGGCACGGGGTCATAGAATCAGTCTCAGGCAGCCTGGTTATAGCTTCTGCTTTCCGATGACGATCACGATGCTTTGCAGCCCACTTTGATTTCCTAATTAATGGATCATATGGTAGTTTAAAATCAACTTATGAGTGTGACATTTTGTTTTGCTTGGCTACAGTGCCAATAGTCTTTCTTTCCTTTCGAAAAAGAGTAGCAATTCTGCTTCATGAGTTTGTATTAGCGATTTCTATTTCTATGTCCCTTCTTTTTTAGTTGTGCTCAGTTTTTTCTAGCCCATCTAACTTTGCTCACTTTTGCCCTCTTTCACTCGCCCGGGCCTCACAAACGGCCAAACAGTGCCTTGGCGTCCGGTCAAAGCCTTTGACCGTTACTTTGCCGGTGCTGACGCATGGGACCGACATGTAAGGCCGCATGCATTCACGCTGGCATACAAAATTGAATCAAAGTCGCCTGTTGTAAGCGTTTGCTCGCGCTTTCGTACGTCGGGACTCGCGCCGCCGCTCCGATTAATGGCGGTTTAACGCCGCAACCCAGCCCTTCCCGTGCCATATATACAGCCCCCATCACATTTCGCCGCTCGCCTCCACAACCTTATCCGCCGCCGGCGCCACTACAGCACAAACCCTAGCTCTCCTCTCCCTCCACCCCTTCCGCTTCCATGGTGTGGTTGTGCAGCATCACTCTCCGTGAAGCCGAGCTTCTCGCCATCTGCGACATCCTGGTGCCGCCGGACATGCGCCTGCCGGTGGGATGGGTTCTGAGTGCGAGGGGTCTTCTTGTGGCGCTTGCCCCCCTCCCTTTCAGTACGATTGCCTTGGCGTGTGTCGTCCGTAGGTTTTGGGCACGTCTGATGCCGGAGGAGAGGGCGCATCCAGGCTTCGAGCCTAACGCCCCATTCTGGCCGCAAATCCTTGGCCAGGACCGTGCCGCTCAGATCCAGCAGTTTGACGACCCCAACCCGATGCCGCGCTTTAACATTGTGGAATGGCCCGAGCTTCGACGAGGTCATTGCCGTGTGCCGCTCGCAGGTTGCGGAAGAAGATTAATTTCAAATTTGGGAGTAGGGCCGCCTCGAAGTTGTTGTTTTATCTGAATAAAATATGTATGAATTCGTATTGAATATGTTTGCACAAATCATTTCGAATGATTGTATTTCGAGTTGTTTCGCATGCAGTTGGAATGACTCGTGATTTATGTGCGCCAATCATTTGGAATGACTAATATCTAGTTGCTTGCATGCACTTGGAATAACTTGTGAATTATGATTTTTTTTTATAAAAAAGGCTCAAAAATTAAAATCTTTTTGCATGGAGGCCTCTTATGTGCAATTGCTTGTGGGAAAAACGATAAACGGACTATACCATAAATAAAAAGTTCTTTTTTCATTTTCTAGTGCCATTCATGACTTTTTTTCTAGTGCCATACAAGTATTTTCTTTTGTGTGTGTGTGCATGTGCTGTTCATGAGGCTTTGCATGATTCTCCTATTGATTCAATAAACCTTAGTTCTCACTAAGGGAAATACTTAGGAAATACTTATCTCTACTGTACTGCATCTCCTTGCATTTCAGGGAACATTCCAACACAACTCACAAGTAGCAGGCTACTAACTAATAGCGGCCACAATAATCTCATCGGTTTGGGCTTGAAAAATCGTAAGTTTGGGGAGGTTACTTCCACGTCTACATTAAGATGTGGCAGTATTTATTTGAATAATTTGTAATGAGGTTGTACTTTAGCTCGGTGAGCTTCAAACACTCGTGTTGGTTTGTTCCAACACTCTGATTTCTATTTGGTTTTGCTTTTTTGTTTGTTTGTTTTACTTTTCTTTTTGCCGGTTGAATTTCTTTCGCATTTCAAAAATAAAAAACCAAAATAATGTTTTCTTTCGCTTGCTCTTTTTCTTTTCTCCGCGGATTTCCGTTCGCGTTCTTGCTAATATTTTTCCGCAGTGGAGTTGGTCTACGTTGGGAAGCGAGGAACACAACTTGAGGAAGAGAAACATGAACATTCATGACCATGAAGGTGATGAGTCCCTTTGGTAATCCGGTAACGAATAACATAAAGGTTCCTAGCCTCTTTCCCCAATGTGTGACCCTGAGTTATCGAACCCATGAGAGGATGTGCACTTACGACAAGGGTTTTCTACCTAAGCCTTTGCGAGAGAATTCAATTCCAGTTTTAGACCGGATCGTTATCACATTTGCTATTGAAAACACTTATAATAAAAACAGACATGGGTACGAGGACTTGATTCTTACAGCCATATGTTTGTGATCGGGATCACCATGATCTTAATTTATTCTCTTGAAGACACCCGTTAAGATGTGCTTACAATGACTCTAAGTGGGGGATGCGTACAAATTATGTTTTGACCGGAACACGCCCTACATCAAGAGTCAGTTGTCCAACCATAGGCCCTATCCGTTGCACGTCGCAATCACATCATAGCAGTTGTTTTTCAGAGCTCAAATTCATCATTAAGATCCCGAGCACAAATATAAGGTTATGAGAGTAAGACCTCATACCCATGCATATTTTTCAAGCTATTGTTTTCACCCCTAAGGTTGTTACAGGTCAGGTTGAAAATTGGAATTTAATTCCTTAACAAAGAGTTGTGATAGCCTTTATCCTAGTGCACATCCTCTCGTGGGTTTGTGTAACGCCCGGATAATTAAGCTACAATAATCCCATGTTAATAGTGCCATATCATCACATTACTGTCGCTAATCTTTATTTGATCCAAATCACAATTCAAATTCAAAACCAAGTTTAAATTCAAAATTCAAATTTCTCAAACATGCAAACTACAATGTTCAAAGTGTTGCAAATAATCCCTGGATATTTGTTATGTTGAAACCCACATTTTTATAAAGTAATTAAACGCCTTTAAATGAATAAAACAGGGGCTAAAAACAATTATTGAATGCCTTTAATTAATAAACAAATACAAACCTATTTTTTATTGTACCAAATTAATTTTGGCAGTAACCTAATTATAAATACTAATTTAGGGGCTAGTGTTATATTTTATAAAACTAAAAATAGAAAATAGAAAAAATAGTAACTATTTAAAAAGAAAAGAAAATGCAGAGTAGAAAAAAGGGAAAAAGATGCCCCTGCCCTCTAGACCTAACCCACCTGGGTCGGCTCAGCCGGCCCGCCTAACCCTCCTGAGCGGCCCAGCCAGAACAGGTTGTCCCCCCATTCGCCTCCCTGTTCGAGCGACCGCGAGCGCGGGCTCCACCGCACCACCACGCAGACGATGAGGTGGATAAGCCCCCGCCCCCGCCGCCTCGGTCCTCTCCCCTGCGCTCATCCACTCCACTCGCCCGACTCCCCCACATCCCTGTCCCTCGCTCTGCCTCACTCTCTCCACCAAGCCCGAGCGCCGCCATGGACGCGACGCCGGCGTAGCCGCGGCCACCACCGTCCCTGAGCCCCTCCGCCGCGTCCTGATACATTTCCAATGTACCTATATTTTTTTATTTTTTCATGCTATTATATTATCTGTTTTGGATGTTTTATATGCATTATATGCTATTTTGTATTATTTTGGGGACTAACTTATTAACCTAGAGCCCAGTGATAGTTTTTGTTTTTTTCCTTGTTTTTGACTTTTTCAGAAAAGGAATATCAAACGGAGTCCAAACGGAATAAAACTTTACGGTGATTTTTCTTGGACCAGAAGAAATCCATGAGACTTGGAGAGGAGGCCAGAAG